CTGAGTGCGGCGTTAAACAACAAACAAGCAGAGTACAACGCTGTGTGGAGCAATCTATAGTGGGTCATAGTAGTATGTACGACTTGTCTCCGTTCGGCTGGGATACAAGATGATATGAAACCAAGAAAACGCATTGGGAAGTGAATGTTTCGCAACGAAGCGTAGCGGAGTTGGAAGGAGAAATCGTATAAACGTTCACGCTTTAGCCGGAGGGCTGTTATACATTATTAAGTCCCCGAGGTACAAATCGTCGCTTTTTTTAACTAAACATACGTCATAGTCTGACATACATTGAAATATAATTTAATACGTATACCGACATGAAATAAGGGTAATTAGCTATGGCTGGAGTGTGCATTTACAATACCGTGGCGTTGTATCTGAGGGCAACTTATACTCACGATGAGATGTCACATCCTGCATGAACAGGACGTGGTGCACACAGACGCCAAAGTGTATGCGCCTTTTTGGGGTTCCCACAATCACTAATGCAATTGAGCTACTAACACTCTCAACAGACAACATAACGACCTCTCTCTCTCTCTCTCTCTCTCTCTCTCTCTCTCTCTCTCTCTCTCTGAGGAGGAGGGATCGATACCCCTACTGTTTGCCGAATCTTTGGCAAATTAAAAAGTGTAATTTCCCGACTGTGTACCATCACACTGGTGGGGTTGTAATGAGACCTGGTAGTGGCAGGCCTCATGTGACACTTTCTTGACAAGATCGTATCATTACATTATTTGCACTTCGCGTACGGTAAAATAACAGGACTACTGCAGGTTGAGCAGAATAATACTGCGGTCACAATCCAGTTAACCTGGACCATGCCCTTGAGAGGGAGAAGAGACAACATCTTCATTGCCAATTATTGTGTCGCATATGGTTATCGATGTGTATTTGTAAAGCAGGAAACGCATGGCATATTGATGGCTGTCTGTTTATGAATGGTCCCTCATGTTGTTTTTCCAAAAGATTCGGATACAGGTGTTATTATCCCATTACATGAAAAAAAATGGTTCAAAATTAATCAAAGATCTATTAGTGTATTGAGTAATTTGTCTAAAGAGTTCACAATTATATTAAATACTAGGTTATTTTCTTTCAGATATGTATGACAAAATATCAGAATATCAATCTGGCTTTAGACGAGGACACTCGACAATTGACGATCTATTTATTTTAAATGCTATTATCCAACGATATTTAGGTATGTCTGGTGGTCGTAAGTTATGTGTAGCCTTTATAGGCATTTCAAAGGCGTTGTAATTTGTGGAAAGTATTTGAAAAGCGCGGTGTCAGCTCTAAGATGTCAAAAATGTTCAAGTCAGTTTGATGGTAATGTTACGGCATGTGTCGGAAGTAATTACCTGTTGTCAAACCAATTTCAATGTAAATTGAGGTGCTAGACAAGGTTGCGATTTAAGCCTCTTCTTATTTCAATTATTCATAAATGAAATTGTGCACACAATGAAACAGGAACAGTTATCTGGAACACAGTTTCATCCTGAGATTATACAAGTTTTATTATTGCTCTTTGCAGATGATTTGATTTTAATTTCAGACACTGTTAGCATGATTAGGGGATTACAGAAGGAATTATCTATCTTAAATAAATAAGGAGGACTGTGGGACTGTAGGACTAGAATATGTTAGTTAATATTGATAAAACTAAAATTGTAGTTTTTCAGAGAAGTGGGCGGCTGAATAAAAGTGCATAATGTTATCTGAATGGACAACTTGTGGAAGTCACACAAGGGTATCAATATTTAGGTTTGTTTTTTAGCAGCAGGCTGTTATGGACACAAGCTTTAAGTAACATAGCAGTTCAAGCTAAAATGGTACTTATCAACCAATTAAAAATCATGAATTGTTTGCAGCCTTATTTTCTAAAATTTCTTTTCACATTGTTTGACTCTAAGATATCACCTGTGTTACTGTATGGGTCAGAAATATGGGCATTCCATAAAATGGAAGAAGTTGAGAAAGTTCATTTATATGCGTGTTAATGGTTATTGAATGTTAAACACTGGTTTGTCTGGTCCAGGCGCGATTATTTACAGACCGCCGTCATATATAGCTGGAATATTGCTGAGTGCGGCGTGAAACAACAAACCAACCCAACATTCAACCCGCCATTTTGCCCGAAGAGCTATCCCATGCTTGGCCTCGTTGGCGGGTGATCACTATGATGTATGGCGTTAACCAAAAAGCAAACAAACAAAAGAAGCAAATAATATATCAATGCAATGATAAGAGATTCTAAATATTGGCTGATGTGTTTGCTGAGTACCCACTTACCTACAAAGTGTTATGATATGTTGTATTATTACAATAGTCAAGGAAAGAAGAATTGGGTTTCTTATATTAGAACAACTTTATTTTCTCTCGGATTCGGTCATGTTTGGTTATCACAATCACTTGGTAATATAAGGTATTTACTTCGATGTTATTGCAACGTTTCAAAGACAATTTTCAACAAATATGGCACAGACGTTTGTGTAATAGCTTTAAGATGTCCTATTCTCATTTTAAATTTATTTGAACTGGGGCGATGTTTCTGCTGATGGACTTTCATCGTAAGCCCAGTAGCATTCTGTCTGTGCTGAGTCAACTGCAAAAGACATATTAGGGTCTATACATGAAATCTGTGGCGCAAAACGGATATATTTCTTAAATATCATTCCACTATAGTCAGTAAATGCCCTATTGAGGATTGGTTGGTATGTTGTTTTACGCCGCACTCAGCATTATACCAGCTACATGGTGGCTTTCTGTTGTAAATAATCGCGACTGGACCAGACAATCCATTGATTAATATCATGAGCATCGATCCACGCAATTGGGATCGATGACATGCGTCAACCAAGTCAGCGAGCCTGACCACCCGATCCCGTTAGTCGCCTTTTTACGACAAGCATAGTCACCTTTTACGGCAAGCATGGGTTGCTGAAGACCTATGCTACCCCGGAATCTTCCCGGTCACCCTATTGAGGAACTGAATATCTGACGCATCGCTTCATTATATACTTTGTTACTTGCCGCCGTTGCACTGTAGAAATACTGCTGTGCGGTGTCAGGTAACAACACATATATTCTCATATAAAATGTGTGAGTCTGGTGGGTGGCTGATTTTTCAGTGATCCACTCATTTATTTTCACCACTTTGCATTTTAATCCGAATGGAATCTGTTTCGTTGGAAACTCGAGACCTGCTATTCTCTAGCTTTGATGTTATATATTTCCATGTAATTGTCCATGCGCTATTAAACACCTTCTTCTGGAATGTACAGACACAGCACTCATTGGTGACTAATATTTAAATATTTGTTTTTTGCATTTGGTGTTCAACAAGGTTCAACGCGCCGTGTTAGCTATTTGAAAGATAGGAATTTGTTTGACAAAATGTAGTTTAATAGATTACAGTTTTTAGTCTGGTTTGTGTTCATGGCTGATATTTTGGTGACCAGCGTCAACAATTATTTTACTATATTGGGTATGAATATAGTGTATTTCCATTGTGTTCTGGCCACGAATAGCTGTAAAGTTGCTAATGCGGCGTTAAGCAACATTCACTCTATCAAAATAAAGAGTTATTCACATTACGTAAGTCTACCAAATGGATGGAATTATATATTTTGAATCCAGCCGGTATTCATTAACAGATTAAGTGTCCTACTTACATGGGGGAGTTTCAAGAACATTATGGCTTCCGGGTAGTTAACCAACGTTAAGGAATGCGACATTCTGCAAACATGTTCTATTCAATTCAATTCAATTCGGTTTATTTCGTAAGTGTAGGCCATCGGCCCATAGTTACATTTGTATTACAATGGACGTGATGTACACAGCTGTTATTGTTGTGACAATAATGTACTACGAAGTGACATCGCTTGATAGATATAGATAGCTAGACGTTCAATTAATTTACAATCAGTTGTAGACATAATGATATTAATTTTTTGTATGGTCGGATATTCATAAAATGTTTGTAGTAAGTGATCCACGCGTAGCTTGTTATAACCGGAACACAAAATGATACTCGTCCTCCACATAGCCAGCATTACAAACACAACATAGTTTTCTGTTACGTGGGATATCAGCATATCTCCCAGTTTCAGTTACAGACCGCCGTCATATAATTGGAATATTGCTGAGTGTGGCGTTAAACAACAGACCAAACCAAACCAAAGTAATACATTGAGATAAGAAAACTCATCCTTTTCGTGAGAAGCTAAGGTGAGAACTGTGGAGAACCAACAAATATAAGTTGTTTTCATGATCAAATGGTTCATCAGCGAAATCAATTCCGGTAGAAAATAAAACAGTGTTTAAGCCAATTGTATTTGAGTAGATCAATTATTAACATTAACTACAAAGAACCTTTTTTACTTGATCTGAATTATATAGAGGACTCTTTGGATTGGTCCATCACCACAACAGTTAAATGTCACATGTTTTGACAAGCCATCTCTACTCCACTGTCTAACAACTGGGTAGTCTGACAAATGGGATAAAAGCTCTGGCAAACGGGGTGTCTGACAATTGGGATATGAGCTCTGACAAATGGGGTGTCTGACAATTGGGAGAGATCCAATTTAGCCGACTGTGACCAATAAACACCCGGGAGTTAATTAACTCCGAACTCTCTAATGAGTGAAAATCCTGGATGGGGAGCAATGGGCACTAGGGGCTTTTCGCTAAAATATGTCATTTGAACACTAAGGACAGGAATACGTCTAAATAGAAACTTAGCCTTAAAGACTGAAGTCGATTGGACTAAAACAAGAAAATACTTAACTTTCAGATTATACAGGTAGTTGACCAACAGATATTTTTGATTTACAACAATAAAATAGGTACTTGATCTAAGCTAGGAAACCAGAAAAAGTTAGTTATTCACGGATTACTAGAAATCAGGGGTATAAAATATATTACTGAAGTCAATATATTCTAGCTTATATCAGACACATAAACCATGAAACATTTATCTGTTGCAGACAATGTTCAGTAATAAGCAATCGTCTGGATTGGTTGATGACTGGCAGTCGGGGAAGACTGTCACTGAGTGTAATCTGCGCATGCTCGACACAGAAGACTTCAGTGACGTCATCTTCTGGGTTGGGTCAGTGAAGCAGATGGTCCGAGCCCACCGCTACATTCTTGTCAGTCGTAGCTGTGTCTTCCATGCCATGTTCTGTGGTAACCTGGCAGAGGAGAAGGAAGTGACCATCCCTGACATAGAGCCGCACATATTTAGAGAGTTCTTAAGGTAACCCCCCATGTTACCTAAGATCATAATTACATTATTACTTCCTGGCAGCTTGGTACGGAAACCGGAAGTTATGCAGGTCTTAAACCTGCTTCCACTTTTGTGAAACCCGTGACAAACCTGGGACCATAGTTATGGCAATTCTAGGATTCGAACCAGTGATCACTGGTTTGTGGCATGCCTAGGGGACGCAACAGCGAATTGTGTCACCTTACATGACTGTGTCATATTTGTCCCATTAGATACTTTAAGGATAACATGAGGAACATAAAATATCAGTTCACTATTCAAAGCCATAAATGCGTAAACCAATGTGTTGTATGTGGTTTTGATGCAAATTCTAAGGAAACAGATTGACCAGGTTAAATATTTTATCATTTGCTGAGCAGTTCTATTGGTGTGATGGTCTAATATTTAACTATTTTATGTGTAGGTTTGTATACACAGAAAAGGCAGATGTCAGCGCCGGAACAGTTGTGGGATTAATGTACACATCCAGGAAATATTCTGTAGATGCATTGTACAACAAATGTGTAATATTTATGGAGACATGTCTGTCAGAGAACAATGTCTGTCTGATCCTTGAAGACAGCCATCGTTACGGGGAGTTTGACTTGGAAAAGAAAACCCTGATGATCCTGACTGAAGGAGGGGAGAGAGTCATCAGATCTCCAGGATTTGCAGAGCTGTGCAGTTCTTGTCTGGAGAAGTTCCTTAAGTCGGAGAATTTGAAATCAAAAGAAGAAGACATTTTTGAGGCGATAATGTCATGGACAAAACACAGATGTCTGCAAGAAGGTATGCCCGACACACCTGAGAACCTACGGAGACTTCTTGGTGATATGCGGTATGAGATCCGGTTTAACAGCATGCCCCTGGACTATCTCCTGACAGTTGTAGGTCCTACGGAAGTGCTGACTGACATTGAGAAATGTCAAATGATAGACAAAAGGGTAAACTCTCATATCGACATCTCTCCTTTCAAGGATATACAGAGGAAAGAATGTAACCATTTTGGGGAGGAGCCTGTATCGTATAGGTATGTTTGCAGGTTTAGAGATTATGGGCTTACAGCTCTCCACAAGGGAACACATGCTATATCGTTTTCCGCAAATCAGGATCTTCACTTGAAAGGTTGTCAATTGTATGGCGCAGAGCGTGATGAAACGTTTACCCTGAGTATAAAAGTGTTTGACAGCAGTCATTTGAAGATTGCTGAACCATTGCAGAAAGTAAAGCGAGTCCTTGAAGGCCAGAATCAGCCAAACGAGGTTCTGTTCCCCACGTCTCTCTTACTGATCTCGGGTGCAACATATACTCTGTGTGTGGACATAGAGGGAACCGACACATACATTGGATGGGAGGGTAGCAAGAAAGTAATAGCTGATGGAGTAGAGTTCACCTTCGAAAACTCCCCCATGGCAACGTCGGGAACAACAATTTACGCAGGACAGATACCTGGATTGATATTTAGCCACACGTCACATGCGTTTACGCTATGTTGCTGATTACTGTGTGGGAAATACGCTTTTGTACTTGCTTTACTTTGTCCACACTCATCACTGCTAAGAAGAAAAAAGCTTCGGAGGCTACATCGGTATTTTATGATCCTGTGATAATGAATTCCTGTTTGACAACGCAGCGTCTTCTTTGGAATATTAAGGACAACCGAAAGAGGAAATGTATGTAACAACCTGAACGAGACTAAGACACTGGCATCATCACTGAAAACAACACTGACGTGTACAGGACGTAATGAAATCATTTAAATACTCGATCTGTGATATCAGCATACCCTGCACTCTCGCACTCACAGACACTCTCTCCTCCGAAAGCACTCAAAGTGAATGGTATGGCGTTACCACCACGAAAGTGTCCCTTCGTACGCATTCAACTTGAGCTATATGTTACACCTCCCTAGGTACAATACTCAATAGCGCCTCTCTTTACTTATTCAACACGAACTGTATGGTGCACGCTCTGTAGGTAAATTTACTCAATAGCGCCCCTCCTTAAGCATTCAACCTAAACTGTATGTTGCTGTACTATAGGTAAATTTACTCAATAGCGCCCCTCCTTAAGCATTCAACCTAAACTGTATGCTGCTGTGCTATAGGTAAATTTACTCAATAGCGCCCCTCCTTAAGCATTCAACTTAAACTGTATGTTGCCGTGCTATAAGTAAATTTACTCAATAGCGCCCACCCCTAAGCATTCAACTTAAACTTATGTTGCTGTGCTATAAGTATATTTACTCAATAGCGCCTCTTTTAAAGCATTCAACTTAAACTTATGTTGCTCTGCTATAAGTAAATTTACTCAATAGCGCCCATCCTTAAGCATTCAACTTAAACTTATGTTGCTGTGCTATAGGTAAATTTACTCAATAACGACCCTCCTTAAGCATTTATATTAAACTTATGTTGCTGTGCTATAGGTAAATTTACTCAATAGCAACCCTCCTTAAGCATTCAACTTAATCTGTATGTTGCAGCTCTTTTGGTACCTTAGCCTTTCTCCTTAGCCAGCATTAATCGTATGCGGCAAAGTAAAATATGTTTTCTTTCTTTGTTTGTTGTTAAATGCCACAATGACGTATGCTAGTTAATTGCTTAACGCCGCACTCAGCAATATTCCAGCTATATGACGGCGGTCTGTATATAATCGAGTCTGGACCAGACAATCCAGTGATTGACAGCCTGAGCATCGATCCACGCATTTGTGATACGATGACATGCATCAACCAAGTCAGCGAGTTTGACCACCCGATCCCGTTAATCGCCTCTTACGACAAGCATGGATTGCTGAAGACCAATTCTAACCCGGAATCTTCACGGGACAAAATTTGAAAGAGCAGGTCCTATGACTGAACAGTCACGGTTAAGAGCTCCCTCTTTTTGCATTTTGCAGATGGCTACATACTCATGTGCCCCTACCAGCCAACCAGAATCTAATTTTCAACGAAATATAAGACGTCAACGCCAGCGCATAACCAGTCTCAATTATCCACCGAAACACACAAAAATGCTGACAAGCAATTTCAAAGGTTTAATGAGATTTAAGCGTATTCTGACCAAACGCAGCGTGAGATGAAACAGCTATTTAATGTGCACGCAATCTTCACCAATACAAGATAAGTGCGTCTTCACTCTTCAGCGAGATTACGTTTTACAAGAAACTTCAAGATAACTAGAATGATAACTGGATATTTCATTTGGTTATGAATGAGCCCGAAAACTATAGCTTCGGTCCAGCTAAAAATGCTGATAACTAAATTCCTTTCACTACATATTCTAGATATACTGTATCCCTTCGCACAGTGTATTTGCACATGTGACCAAAAGGCCCATAGGACATCAAGTATACAATGCCCTTCTACATCGTTGCAGCGCAACCTTGACATTGTAGTTCCATAATATAAAGGACGGGTTTACAAACAAGTATTTCACAATAGATTCATATTGGCTTCTTAGCCCTCATGAGGAATATGCAGCACAATAACACGGAAAACTTTAATGACACGTTCGCATTTTCGGTTTGGAATATATCATACAACATAACTAAATTCAATTTACTACATATTCAAGATATACTCAGTCTCTATACATAGACAATTATTGAAACTGACAAAATATAAAATCAATATGCTGAGTTTGGCAAACGGAATTATTGAAAAGTTCATACCTTGGTGTGGACCCATTAACTGCCAGTAATCGGCAGCTGACTCTTATAGGTTGAGTGAGTGAGTGAGTATGGTTTTACGCCGCTTTTAGCAATATTCCAGCAATATCACGGCGGGGAACACCAGAAATGGGCTTCACACATAGTACCCCTGTCGGGAATCGAACCCGGGTCTTCGGCGTGACGAGCGAACGCTTTAACCACTAGGCTACCCGACCGCCCTCTTATAGGTTGAACAGTAGCAGGCTACGCGAACATCATACATGTAAGTTGCAAAATCAGATTTGTTTTGAATGATTAAATGTATCGAGCTTTTACTTTTCAAAGCTTATGTATATTAAACGACGTTTTAGTTTACATAAAATAATCTTTGTTTTGAATATTGATAGAAGAACAATCAAACACAGTATGTTTGATTTTAATAGAGGTTAATAGAGATCTACGCATTTGACTGTAATTGTGAAAGTGGGTGAAATTAAATTCACGCTGCTGTAAAACAGTGAGTGAGTATGGTTTTACGCCGCGTTTAGCAATTATTCCAGCAACATTACGGCGGGGGACACCAGAAATGGGCTTCACATATAGTGAGTGAGTGAGTACGGATTTATGCCGCTTTTAGCAATATTCCAGCAATTTCACAGCGGGGGACACCAGAAATGGGCTTCACACATTGTACTCATGTGGGAAATCGAACCCGGGTTTTCAGCGTAACGAGCGAACACTTCAACCACTAGTCTACACAAAAAACCCTGCTGTAAAAAGTATTTCGATTATTTAATGGCGTGTCATCTCGATATGAATGGGTGTGGTTAGCAATACTCCAGTTATATCAGTGCGGGAGACACCAGAAATGGGCTTCACACATTGTACCCATGTGGGGCTTTGAAACTGCAGCTGTGAGGAAAAGCCAAATTGATACAGATCACACACGAATCCCAACCATTAGACTAGAAGGTGAATACAGCTGACAAATCCAAGGTAAGTGATGAGGAGGTTAATTGCTAATTTTGTGGGAATACGTTCAGCTTAAACACGCCGGAATAGTTGACAGGTTTATGACGATGTTGTTACCCTTCTGACAAGCGCTGCATTCTCCGCACACTTGATTGCATCCACTTCAAATACACACATGGACGATGAGGGTAATATATACAGTCCATCATGAAGGTATGTAACAGCTGAGCGAGGCAACGGTTGGTTGGTTGTTTAACGCCGCACTCAGCAATATTCCAGCTATATGACGGCGATCGGGCTGTCAGGTTCGCATCGCAGACTTGGCTGATGCATGTCATCAATCCCAATTGGGTGGATCGATGCTCATGATATCAATAACTGGATAGCCTGGTCCAGACTCTATTATTTACAGACCGCCGTCATATAGCTGGAATGTTGCTGAGTGCGGCGTTAAACAACAAATCAACAACAACAACTACAATGTGTGAAGCCCATTTTCCGGTGTTTCCCGCCGTTATATTGCTGAAATATTGCTATGAGCGGCGTAAAAGCATACTCACTCACTCACTCACTCACTCAATCACAAGCTAGAAACGGCCTCCAAAGGACGGGTCTGTCAAAACTGAACAAATAACTTGTTTTTGATGGCACAGCATGCTATTCTTACGCATACAAAGCATGTCCTCAAGCGACGAACGGCCTCCAAAGGACGGATCTGTCAAAACTGAACAAATAAACTCATAAACTTAACATTTTCTATGTGGCACAGCTCGCTGTTACTATGCACCAAAAGGATATCCAGCAAACAAACAAACAAACAACGAATGAGAATATGGCAGGTAGGGTTATTAGGCAGTATGTTTTCTGACTAGCTACTCCACAATCTATTCATATATATGCAGCCACGTCTTCTTCTTCCTCTTCTTCTTCTTTATAGATTATGTAAAGGACAAAATTATCACTAATCGCACTAAATGTTATTCATTATACTAGCATTATTATAATCGTTCTCTCAATCACTGCTTTGCCTGTCCCAGACAATGTCCATTTAAGGCTACAGATGAATAAGTAAAAGATTATGGCACTGAGCAGTAGTTCTTAAACGGGAAAATATGGCCTTTCCATTCACCCATAACTTCATGTTATCTTATCTTAACGCTTATCGTCGAGTATCATAAAACGAATTTATAAGCTTATGAGGAAAACCTATGCATCTCCATTGATTGTATGGTACAAATAATGAATGACAAAACATCTTTGTTCGCAATTTCAATTGTTCTTCGGGAATAGTTTCGCTCAAAACAGTTTTTTTATATTTCACTTTGTATTTAAGCTTTAACCTGAAACTGGGTCAGTGAGTTGGGCTTAACGCCGGTTTCAGTAATGTTCAAGCAATATCCCGACGGTGACACCAGAAATGGGCTTCACGCACTGTACCCATGTAGGTAGACTAAAATCTAGTCTCTGAAATGAACATATCGTACATAAAAAAAACAGTTGTTCAGTTATCTTAATAAAAATATAATAAAATGGAGCCCAGTGACTCTCTTCTAGACTTGCCAAACATTATAGACTTGCATGGGCTGTATTTGATATATATTTGTATCAGGGTTTGTAAGACAGACGACCATGTAGGGAATCGAACCCGTGACTTCCGCGTGACGAGTGAACGCTGTTACCAAAAGGCCAGCACACCGCCCCTTTTAACATCACTACCGAGATAAAGCAACACGTAACAAGTTATACCGAATGCACTAATATGTGCCAACCTGCCATAGTTGATATTTGATTGTTTGTTTTACTTTTAACGCTGCACTCAGCAATAGTACAGCTTCGTGACGGCGGTCTGTAAATAATCGAGTCTGGACCAAACAAACCAGTGTATTTCACGTTTTAGTGAGACAGCCTGGGATCTGGTCCCGAAAAGGCTTGAAACAAATGATCTGAGAGAAATAATTGACTAAAGCAAACTCTGTTGCACATAAAATTTATTTATATTTTACAAATATCAGTGAGACTTCAACATTTATTCTCTTGATGCACTTCACGTCCGTGTCTACAACTTTAATGCAGGGCGCTAAGCTTTGCTTTGTGAAAAAGTCCAGCTAGTGTTATGGGAGAGTGAGCAGGACATACATATACTTCAACGAGCATTGTTAAAGGCGTCGTGAATTCCAACGTTTGAAATAAGGCTCGCTAGACCTACCACAATAATGGGAGCGGAGGACATATCAAATGGCTGCATTTGATTAAAATTTTGCCAGGCCCTAAGATCGGCATTCCCTCCATCACCCAGAACATCGAAAGAATTTCACCTTATACATAGGCGGACGCATCCACCCTCGGAAAACCAAATGTAGTATGATGTAGTCCCCCCCCCCCCCCCCCCCCCCCTACACACACACAGAGACACACTCATATCCTGGGACATTTTTACTTGATTTTATGTAGTTTCACGAGGTACATAAACTTGTTATGAAATGGATAAAATGTGTTTTGTATCCAATTTTTGGCAGACTCTTATTTTGAATCAATAATCAGCAAAATTAAAACATGTTAACCTGTCCTAAAAAGGTGAGGAAAGTGCATATGAATACAACATGCACAAAATGTAAACTGTGAAACCCATCGGACGTGTCATAGCATCCCTGCAGGCTAAATGAGAGAGAAACGAATTTTGAGGGCAACATAATCGACATTACTTTTAGTACCTGTTTTGTGACCTGCATAACTGACCCGTGACGAGATCGCCCGTTGAGGAACAAAGCATCTTCTGTTTAACATGTTTTTTAATAACATCAGGTGCGGCCGGGACTACTATTTGCACCCACTGGTTATTCGAATGGGGGACCTGAATCGATAGCGCTGTGGAACTGTACTCAGCAACGTCTAATCACCTCCTAACGCCGCGATTCGCTGTGCAGAGTTGCGTCCCTTGGGCACGCCAGAAAGCAATGATTGTGGGTTTGCCCCCGATTATATTTCTAGGTTTGTCAGCACCATACCCGTGCTCGTGGGTTTCACCGAATGGTAAACGTCTGAGACCTGCATCACTTCGGGCTTTCCTCCCACACTAAGCTGACACGCCGTGATATAACTAGAATACTGTTAAAAGTGGCGTTAAACCCAACTCACTCACACACTCACTAATGACTCCTTGAAGGATAATGCACTCTCGATAGACACTAGTATTTTTCTCAAACCTCCAGTGATGGATATACAAATTTTAAATGCATCTCAAAACTAGCCATAGCCAAGCAGGGTGACATGTTGCCACATGATGACATGGATCAGTCAAACATCTCTCTGTTTGTTTGTTTGTTTGTTGTTGTTTAACGCCTCACCCAGCAATATTCCAGCTATATGGCGGCGGTCGGTAAATAATCGAGTCTGGACCAGACAATCCAGTGATTGACATCATGAGCATCGATCCACGCAATTGGGATACGATGACATGTATCAACCAAGTCAGCGAGCCTGACCACCCGAACCCGTTTGTCGCTTCTAACGACAAACATGGGTTGCTGAAGACTTATTCTAACCCGGATCTTCACGGGTCCGAAAATCTATGTGGCCCCCCTACATTGACCGAGTTTGACGCAAGGTTTTTGCGTTGAACACAGGTGTTTCTAACTTGTTTGTGCATACTTATATTAATGTGGACGTGTTTTAAGAATCAGCATACTATCGAATCTTTCTTTCAACTTCATTTTTCAAATATTTAAGTTTTTCAAGTGTAACGATGAGCGTTGTCATTATTTATCTAGTAACTGTTTCAATTTGTATACATCGATTTTTGTTTGGCCCATTGTATTCCAGTTGATCAGCAAGCAGGCTGTTTCACATGAATTTCTATTTACATCTATCTGGACCAAGAACATTAAATATGATATGGAATATGTGTGTACTTTATAATACATATTTTAGTTTATGCTAAATCAAATAAGTCAATCAGCCAATCAAATTCTATGCAAGTATTATTAAACACGCTTTCAAATGTCATCTGAGAAAACAATTTGTGAAATGCTGGACTTCCTCATTGATATATATGGTTTTACGCCCTATTTAACAATATTCCAGGAATATCACGGCGGGGGACATCAGAAATGGGCTTCACACATTGTACCAATGTCGGGAATCGAACCCGGGTCTTCGGCGTGACGTACGAACGCTTTAACCACTAGGCAACAGAGTTTGTTTCAGTTATTTATTTCTCTCAGATAATTTGTTTCAAGCCTTTTCGGGACCAGATCCCAGGCTGTCTCCCTAAAACGTGAAATACAACCCCCAACCCCCACTACAAAATATTAAATGATCGGACCCTCAATGGATAGGAGTGAGTGAGTGAGTTTAGTTAAACGCCTCTTTTAGCAATATTCCAACAATATCACGGCGGGGAGCACCAGATATAGGCTTAACACATTGTACCCATGTCGGGAATCAAATCCGTTTCTACGGCGTGACGAGCGAATGCTTTAACCACTAGGCTACACAAAAAAACCTGCTGTAAAAAGTATTTCGATTATTTAATGGCGTGTCATCTCGATATGAATGGGTGTGGTTAGCAATACTCCAGTTATATCAGTGCGGGAGACACCAGAAATGGGCTTCACACATTGTGCATAAGATCTTTCTAAAATAGGGGCCAAGATATTTAGGCACAAGAAGTAAGCATCCCCATGGGCTCCCGTATTTGCGGATGTTTCCTATTTTCAGTATATCAATCGGAACTTCCGATTGGCAAAGTCAAAACGATGGTGTCAATCCTGCTGGGGCACCATGCAGGTAGCAGAAGTAGCGCTCGGAAACCGGAAGTGCATATAACGTCTTTGTAAAATTATCTGAAGGCATGTTACTTCCGGTTTCAGAGTTATTCGGCATTGGCTGTGTGAGTTCTAAAACAGGACGCGATAACATTACACAAGAATTGCTTATAACTTTATTGTTAACTTTGTTGTTAAGGTATCTTGAAACATAGGCTTTTCTGTTTCAAAGTTGTATAGCATTGCGATGACAACTGTCACCAGATTTGGTAAAGTCTGAATGGTTCATAATACGTTTCAGATGGTAAGGGTTTTGGGACATTCGGGAAACCATGGTGACGGTGCGGCTTCTGTTATCCATGTAATTCAAATACCTTTCGGGCGGTGGGGTAGCCTAGTGGTTAAAGCGCTCGCTCGTCCCGTCGAAGACCCGGGTTCGATTCCCGACATGGATGTAAAGCCCATTTCAGCTGTCCCCCGCCGTGATATTGCTGGAATATTGTTAAAAGCGATGTAAAGCCATACTTACGCACTCACTCAATCATCCAAACATCTTTCTAGTTTGTTTTGTCAATAACAAACTAAATAAACCTTAATTCGTTTTGTCAATAACTAACTCTTAGTTAACACCATTTTTGGTCAATAATTCTTCGCAATAAAACTCCTAAATATTTTGTCATTATTACGACCCAAGTCATTTCTAATTTGTTTTGTTAATAAATCATCTTCAATTAAACCCTATTTATTATTTCAATGACTTACTCCAAATAAATCATTACAAAAAAACAAAAACAATGTAAAACATTCCTCCAATTTTTGTACGGCCAATATAATCTTGTTAATTCTCTGATTGTGCTTTGTGGTTAAATATGGCACACCTTGGAATGGTTTCAGTATTATTTCAAGACTTCCACACACAACAGTTATCTATTATTTAACCTAGTTCTCTATCTGTAACTATAAAAAAATGCACCAGGTGTCAGAATGGCATGGAATAACAGGATGTTTTCAGGTAAATGTGATTGTTTTTTTCAAACGTAATCAGACAGACACATTGTGACTTATTTCATCCTGGTAACAAAATTCCACAATTAGTGATGGTTGAACGACAACATTCACGAACAAGCGCTAATCATGACCTCTGCGAATGTTAGACATATGTTACAATGTTATCTGTGCCATATTGCAAATCTCAGTGGACTGACGGTGTGATAAAAACCTAAAAGCATAGACAAGCAACCTTACAATGCTAGCTTCGCCTCCTTCTATAAGGCCTCGCTATTTGCTGTGCAGAAATCACAGGTTCACCCTGATGGTACTTCATTGACCATACTACACCCGTTCTCGTGGGTTAATCAAAGTGCTAAAACAAGAACGGTATGCCTTCAAAGCGGTATTAAACCTATCAATCTCCCTGTTTTACACGTGTTCCACATCAGCACAATTATAATTCCACTATTTTTAGGCACATTCCTTCTCCTTGTCCCGGCGTTGGTGTCAACAAGTCTGCAAGGTATGGACGCTGAGTCATATCTACACCATGTACATCCCGCCCAGATTATATACCTTTCAACCCCTGTTGGGATTCCGAGTTGGAATTGGTTCCCAGCAACGCATGAAGGTCGCGAGAGGCCACTTAATGGATCGGATCGCCAGGCTCAGTTACGTGGAAGTCATTGTGCCCATCATACATGAGCATGTTTACAGGGTTCAATCTTCTGTTACAGTGTACAATCTTACGTTACAGTGTTCTGTCTTTTGTAGTAATTTTCAAGACTTATGTTATAGTCTCATGTAACAGTGTTCAGATTTCTGTAACAGTGTTTAGGCTCATATAATAGTGTTCAGACTTTAGTTACAGTGTTCAGACTTCTGTTACAGTGTTCCGACTTCTGTTACAGTGTTCCGACTTCTGTTACAGTGTTCAGATTTCTGTTGCAGTGTTCCGACTTCTGTTACAGTGTTCAGACTTATGTTATAGTTATTAGTCTCATGTAATAGTGTTCAGATTTCTGTTACAGTGTTCAATCCCATATTACAGTGTTCAGACTTTAGTTACAGTGTTCAGACTTCTGTTACAGCGTACCGACTTTTGTTCAAACTTCTGTTTCAGTGTTTTGACTTCTTTTGGCGTGTTCTAGTGTTTTGTCATTTGTTACAGTGTTCAGACGTCTGTTATAGTGTTTAGACTTCTGTTACAGTGTTTTGACTTCTGATACAGTGTTTAGACTTGTTATAGTGTTATGTCTTTTGTAACAATGTTCCGACTTTTGTTACAGTGTTCGAACTTCTGTTGGTTTATTCTGCTAGTGTGTTCTGTTAGTGTGTTCTGTCGTTTCTTACAGAATAATTTGTTCTGTTACAGTGCCACAAATGCCGAGTCATGAGTGTTACCACTGTAGAGGGGCTCTGACATTGGACGAGTGTTCGAAAAAGGACTGCCATCCCCCTGGGGTACAATAACATTTGAGCCTCTCTGATGACGAATTTGATGTATTTTCATCATATGTTTCTCTTGTAGCCTTTGAGCATCTCTGATGAAGAATTTCTTTTCAAGTGGATATTTATATTATGACTTGTAATACGAATGGTTTGCGAATGGTACTTAATAATAAGTATATGAACTTAATACTTGTGTGAACTGTCACGTCATTTGAAATTAAACTAATTTATATATGAGTGCTGATTACGTTATCTGAAATAATGTTCAAATGAAAGCCACGAGTATGAGGAATTAGTTTCCATGTTTGTCACTATAGGCTTGCTATATGGAGGTATATCACGTAGGTGACAGTGAGAGAATACATGCCGAGTGCCTCCCCAGCCTGGTGAGTGTACTCCATAATATTCACTGTAGGAAATTGTTACACAGAATATATCTAGTTATTGCTTTCATCATGTCATATATTTTTGTTGTGATGAGTTTGAGTACTTGTATTTAGAAATGCCTCTTGAAGGAAACGGGGACCCCATTTGTTATGTGGAAAGTACGTGGGTCAAGGACATGTCATGATTGTTGCTTTGGAAATCTCTGCAATTATCATCTTTGTAGATCCTGTGAGTAATGTTTATTTCTTAATTCTAATTCACTTAGTATGACACATACTTGTTTTTTACAGCTAAAATGGACAGAATTATCATTAAACCGCCCGCATTTTATCAGAAATCAGCGGGCAACTGTAACTTGATAATGCCCTCATATTCCTTGACGACGGTCCATTATCACGCCCGTTGTTGGGTGACGTCGTAGGGTAGGGATAGGTGACGTCACGTTCAATAGTGACGTCACCTGGTTTGTTCTATGACGTTTCCATAATAGTAAAAGTGGGTCAGTGACATTCGTGTTGATGGCAGTAAATGTAAAACCGATATTGTTGTTTGTTTTTATTTGATAACAAATTCCATTCATTTTAGCTGTAATAACGGTTACGCTATTTTTCAGGGCATTATCATTTGCAGAGGCCCTCGGTCTTTTCAATGGAAGACCTCGGACTTCTGCAAATGGTAATGCCCTTAAAAATAGCGTTACCCTTATATTAATGTGTAAAGTGCATCACTACGGCAGTTTGGTGATAATTTCATTATCATTTCAAAAGTATGTTTCACTTTTAGCACATGCGTGGTCAACGGTACCAACACCAAGGAAGACAACTTCGGCACGCCACATCATCGTAACCCATGCACCACACAAAACCTTAGTACCCCACATCCTACCCCAGATCCATGTTCCACATTTACATGCAGCATCAAGTTCGACACACAAACCCCATGTACATGCAGCATCAAGTTTGACACACAAACCCCATGTACACGCAGCATCAAGTTCGACACACAAATCCCATATACATGCAGCATCAAGTTCGACACACAAACCCCATGTACACGCAGCATCAAGTTCGACACACAAACCCCATGTACACGCAGCATCAAGTTCGACACACAAATCCCATATACAAGCAGCATCAAGTTCGATACCCCATACACATGCAGATACAAGCTCGACACACAATTCACATATACATGCATCATTAGGTTCGACACACAAACCCCATGTTTATGCAGCAACAAGTTCGACACACAACGCCCATATACATGCAGTAACAATCTCGACATACAAACCACACACTAATGTATTAACAAGTTCGACACAGAAGCTTCGTAAATAAACAGCAACAAACTCGACACATGCTTCCCATATGCATGCCGTAACAAGTTCGACATACAAACCTTATGCATCTCATGCTGTAACACATCAGACATACGAACCTACTACACCCTTATACAAAACATTTATAAGCACACATGCAACAGACCCATCTGAATCCCATACGGCCTCACTGTCACAACCAAGACCAGTTACAAGTTTCCATACAAGTAAGTTATTTTAAAATATTTTTATGTTGAGAATAAGGTTGACAAATTGAAAATGGGTTGTATTAAAATGTTTGTTTCGGAACAATGTATTCCCATAATTCACTTTACACAAAATTTAGAAAAAATAAAATCAACAAAATATTATCTCTTTACGATATATTCTTCTTTGACCAAAACGGATGATAGTGTGCTTGATGTGCAGATATCCAGCAAAAACAATATAACTGGAAGGTACTGTTTTCTAAATTGTTCTTTCGGGATTGGTCTATCAGAAGTAATTTTAATATTGTACCTCACATACTACATAATATAAGGAAGTGAAACATTTCCTTTCAAGAAACATGTGCTGTGTGCAATGGGACGTTATGTGGAGTTTTTCCTGATAAGGAGGAGTCTAACGTCATATGTCCACGACATTCTCCTTTTTGCATGAACACTGTGGACAACGCAGTATCGGGTACAAGGCGTATAACCAAAAGGTACTGTCATAGGATGTTCAACAGTAATGAAATAGTTCTGGGTGCGCGGGCCGCCCAGTCGTCTGAAGCGCCGCAATTCGCTGTGCAGAGTTGCGTCCCTTGGGCACGCCAGAAACCTATGATTGTGGGTTCAACTTCGGGTTAACCCCGATTATGTCTCTAGGTTTGTCAGCACCATACCCGTGCACGTGGGTTACACCAAAGTGGTAAACGACCTGCATCACTTCGGGCTTGCCTCCAACGTAAAGCTGACACGCCATGATATGACTGGGATACTGTTAAAAGCGGCGTTAAGCCTCACTCACATACTCACTCACTCTTTAAGAATAATATTCAGAATTGTACTGCACATACTGTACACGTTCTGTTAGGATAAGCACCACTCGTTCTTTATTTTCAAATAAGAATCAGTCTAAGAATTTGGTCTTCAGCAACCGATGCTTGTAAGAGGCAACTAACGGAATCGGACAGTCAAGCGTTAAGCCTAACTCACAAACTCACTCACTCTATAAGAACAGAATTCAAAATTGTACTGCACATACTGTACACGTTCTGTTTCGATAAGAACCATTGATGCTTTATTTTCAAAAAAGAATCATTCTAAGAATTTGGTCTTCAGCAACCAATGCATGTAAGAGGCACTTAACGGAATCCGGTGGTCAGGCAACAGCCAGGAAACGCGTTAAACGACTTCAGTATCATTGTTATCATGATTATTTATCGGATAAAGTTATATGCGGTCTGTATATATGAGGACATCTTCCCGAGGCAAGTGAGTTAACTGACTATAAAAGTCCAGTTTCCACCCTTGCCGAACTAGGCTGGTATTATGGAGTTACATTTTGGCTGGACTAACGATTCTATGCATAGTCCAATCAAAATCGCGCACCGAAATCGAAATCCAGTTCGTAAACTGTCATGCAGATTTCGGTCGACTGCAGGATTTGCAAAGCATGTGCACCGCTAACTCGTTGTCAACAGATATTTTCTAAATCTTTTCATGCTTTTAATCAAGGTGCTCACGTGATTTGATGCACTTCGCGATGTGAGCTTCGTTTTATCACAATATAGATCTTGAATATCAATCAGATCGTCTTGACTGGGCGCCACAGTTTTAGTTTGAAGCAAATGCAAGTGATACGAGAGGTTGAATCTGATTGGTCAATAGGAGAGGCATAGAAAGGACATAACTCGTAATAGCCACTGGTGGCGCTATGATCGAACCCAGGAATTCCAGCCTAGTTCGGCAAGGGTGGAAACTGGACTTTTAAAGTCAGTTAACTCCCTTGCCTCGGGAAGATGATATGATGAGGACGTGGATGTTCCTGCAGGTGTGCCTCGCAACATGCTTGCGAGATGAAGTGGTGGATCAGCTCCTCAGATGTTGCAGAGTGCATTAACTTCAGCCCTGGGCGGCGTTACGACTTCGCCTTCATCTGTAACTACTGCTGCACGACAGATCTGTGCAACAAGGACCTCTACCCAGCCAAACACACGCTCTATGTTGGCAAAGATTAGAACGGCGTGGGCTTATATGTTGTATGTAGAAGTATATGGTTCTTTGTTGGAATAAATGGGAGCATTTGTGAAACCAGTAACTGACTCATGTAACATTGATTGTATGTTTTGTTTAATGTCACAGGCATGTATTGTGAAAAGTATGGGCCAGACAATCCAATATTTGTATCTTAAACAAACTTAAGTAATGCTGGAATGAGGGCGTACCTCAGGTAATGTCCATCAAATTAACCATCTGTGTTGCAAAACGACCACATTTGTTGCCTCTTACTACAAGTACAGTTGCCTTTTACGGTAAGCATGGGTTGCTGAAGACCTACTCTTCCCCGGATCTTCACGGGTCTTATGTAAAAGGATAACTAAAAGGATAACTGAAAACACTGGTGATGACGCCAGGTATGTGGTGAAGTAGTTCCCAGGAATCTATGCTTGTCACCAAAGGACGATTAAATGCATCGGGGTGTCAAGTTCTGTGACTTGTTCTGTGACTTGTAAATTTAAGTGTCCACGCAACCGGACCACGTAGATCGTTATTCATTATATCAATCACTGGTCTGTCTGATTCATACCGACCATTTCCAGGCAGACATCCAATAATTGTAATATTGCCGACAAGCACATTGTTCACAGCCGAATTCACGTGGTATTGCAAGGCATTTGTGGGGGTAGGATACCACTTTTTAAAAAAAAGAAGAAGCTACAAGCGGAGTTGAAGTGCACTAAAACATGCCGGGTCTTCATATTATATTCTTTAACAATTTCTCCTGGAGTCCCCATAATAATCACAGATTACATTATATGAAGTTTCTCCTTGGCCAGGAGACCAACGCCGTCGAGAGAGTCTTTCACCAAACCGAGTTCCTCCTATGCCTGTTCGGTGCAAGATGTCACTGTAGCAATGCCATGGTGTCTGGAATCAAGGTCATCCCCGTGACCGCGCCTTGACCCTTCCGGATAGACATTTGACACCTGGAATGGAATAATGAAATTTATATACCGAACAGTACCACAAATGCAAAATATGTCTAAGTACAAATACCTAGATGTTGTCCGTAGTGTTGTTAGTCAAGGATGCCATGGACAACGATAACCTTGAAGGTTCTTTGTTTGTTGTTTAACGCTGAACTAGGCAATATTCCAGCTATACGACGACGGTCTGTAAGTAATCGAGTCTGGACCAGACAATCCAGTGATTGACATAATGAGCATAGATCTACGCAATTGGGACACGATGACATGTATCAACCAAGTCAGCGAGCCTGACCCCCTGATCGCCTCTTACGACAAGCATGGGTTGCTCAAAACAAATTCTAACTCGGCATCTTCATGAGACCTTGATGGTTTCAAGCAATATGATATTCTACTAAACCCAGACCTACAGTATACCTTCACAGACTCATGTTTATTCACGGAGTGCCTGAGTGCTGTGTACACCGTAGTAAACAGTAGTCCAGCTATATAACGCTGGTATGTGAACAAGCGATTATTGGCCAGACAAACCATGACACGTTATTAACCAAGTCACTCAACAAGATCACCAATCCTTTTTCAGAATCTTACGATAAACGCCGGTAACTGGTTACCAATCTAAATACGCCCTCGGAAACCAGAAGTTGGTAATTCGCCGTTACTTGCAGGAGACTCGTGAAGATCCGGGTTAGAATTGGTCTTCAACAACCAATGTTTTCCGACAATAGATGATAATAATCTGCATCAGTCACATAATCTGCCGAGTCCTAGATGATTGCTCGTATGTTACGTGATTGCTCGTATGTCACGTGTTGACTCTGTGTGAGGTCACTGCACATTGTGATCATATGTTTAAAATGTTGGTTGGTCGGTTTGTTGTTTAACACCGAACTCAGCAATATTACAGCTGTACGGCGGTCTGTAAATAATCGAGTCTGGACCAGACAATCCAGTGATTGATATCATGAGCATCGATCCACGCACTTGGGATCGATGACAAGTATCAACCAAGTCAGTGAGCCTGACCACCCGATCCCGTTAGTCGCCTTTTACGACAAGCATAGTCACTTTTTACGGCAGGCATGGGTTGCTGAAGACCTATTCTACCCCGGAATTTCACGGGTCTCAAAATGTTGGTTACCTCAGTCTACCGCGTCTAGTTGTCAACCTTCCCACGTTGTGTTCTTTCCTAATTTAATTATTACTTTGCAATTGATAGGACCATGCGGTTGTACAAAAAGAGGGTACATTTAAGGATAACGTTTATGTTTAAAAGGAATCATGCCGGAATCGACAAGAGAAACAGACATAAAATATTTACTACACCGGTCAGTGTCATATTAAAAGAAGCGTCATATAAGAACCACGTTGTGACTATTTCCTGTTATTTTATTCAATCCATTTAAAGCCCTTTCAATAACGAGAGGAAATGTCTGCAAAAAGCAGATTCCAAATTTATTACAGGCACGTGATTGTGAATGACTTCGTGATGATAACAGGAAAGTGTATCATGCCCCACCCCATGCAAAGTGTTCACTTGTGGTTGGTTGGTTTGTTGTTTAACGCCGCACTCAGCAATATTCCAGCTATGTGACGGCGTTCTGTAAATAATCGAATCCCGATCCCGTCAGTCGCCTTTTACGACAAGCATAGTCGTCTTTTACGGCAAGCGTGGGTTGCTGAAGACCTATTCTACCCCGGATCTTCACGGGTGAATGCAGGCACAACTCAAAATAGTAAATTGCACCGGACATAATTTTGTTTACGTCAAATTTGGAAGTGTTTCCATACATCTACCAATAAAACATATGGCCTTGTATGTTGCAACCCTTATCAAACAAAACAAATGACCAAAGTCGTATGACGTTCTATAAAATCTTCGTAGAAAAAATAAGTGAGCATTTTCCAAAGTTGTGAAATGTGGACACCAAAGGATGGAGCTGCTGAAATATTGCTCGACATAAAGAGAAAGTTGACTATTGGAATGTTGCAATCATACCTCTTGTCTTGTGGAGATGTTTTGTCACTATTAATCGTCATGCACTATTAATCGTCATGAGGCGAGTTTCGCAGTAAGTTTGGTTGGTTGGTTTGTTGTTTAACGCCGCACTCAGCAATATTCCAGCTATATGACGGCGGTCTGTAAATAATCGAGTCTGGACAAGACAATCCAATGATTGATATCATGAGCATCGATACACGCAATTGGGATCGATGACATGTATCAACCAAGTCAGCAAGCCTGACCACGCGATCCCGTTAGTCGCCTTTTACGACAAGCATAGTCACCTTTTCCGGCAAGCATGGGTTGCTGAAGACCTATTCTACCCCGGAATCTTCACGGGTCTCGCAGTAAGGAGGGGAGCAAAATTGGTGTTAATGGAGATGCCCACTTCTTGACTAAATCTCCTATCCCTATTTCCACATAGATGTTACCTTGGAGGAAGTTTTTCACATATTGTTTTCTTTAGATGGCATTTGCTTTCTATTTTGAACCTTTGATGCTGGAGAACAAAACTGTGTATATTTATATGGTCACCACGTTAAGTGACCATTGCCCCACGGATCAAGAAATCAAGTTTTTCTTTAACTTTGAAGAGTTGGTGATAATAAATTGAACTTGGATAATTTTGATATTACAAACATTCGAGCAAATTCGGTGAGTTTTGAGAGCCAACATGGAATAAATTCCTAGGTGCCTAGCTTGGGTTACTCGCGGCCTATAGCTTGTGTTTTAAAACTGTATACTTGATATTGTTATGCTCAAAAATGTTTCATAAATTGTTTTTAAATATCGTATGCTGAAATATGTTTCATAAATTGATTTTAAATACAACTTTGCATAAATAACTAAATTTTGAAAATGTTAACTTGGTCTTGTCGCTATATGGCTGAAACAATGCCGATGCGACGTTAAATTTTAACTCACTCACTCACATAGACTTACGACAGTCGTAGCGCTAAGGATGTTTTGTACAACGGCACTCTGGTCCTTTTCTAATGTACGGAAGCCTTTCAGGGCCATTTGGTTTTTTTGGTTTTTTTCAATGCTATCTTGAAATTTCAAGATACAGAAGTTGAAATTTCAAGATATTAAGTTGAAATTTCAAGATACTATCTTGTAATTTCAACTTATTTTCTTGAAATGTCAACTTATTATCATAAAATTTCAACTTTTGTATCTTGAAATTTCAACTTCTGTATCTTGAAATTTCAACTTAGCATCTTGAAATTTCAAGATAGTGTCTTGAAATTTCAACATAGTTTCTTGAAATGTCAACTTAATATCATAAAATTTCAACTTTTGTATCTTGAAATTTCAACTTCTGTATCTTGAAATTTCAACTTAGTATCTTGAAATTTCAAGATAGTGTCTTGAAATTTCAACATAGTTTCTTGAAATGTCAACTTAATATCATAAAATTTCAACTTTTGTATCTTGAAATTTCAACTTAGTATCTTGAAATTTCAACTTAGTATCTTGAAATTTCAACATAGTTTCTTGAAATTTCAACATAGTTTCTTGTAATTTCAACTTAGTATCGAGTTTTTTAAAAAAAACACCAAATGGTCCTGAATTGCCGTGATGTATAATTCAACAGTTTATGTCTCCCCTTATTACACGGAGACAATGCTTAAGGTTTACACGTGGAACAAGTTACAATTTCTGGAACAAGGCAGAACATTGGGACCAGACTGTGGAAAATAGTCCGGTCCCCTCCATCATGACAACTTCACTACCGAACACTACTACATAATGTATCGATATATGTTCACCTCTCACAAGGTCACAGGCATGGCGGCTGGCGTCCGAGTAAGTGTCTTTCAACCCTGAAGATACACAAAGCATTATGAACACGTGTCAAGGTCACCTGCAATGGAATTCAGGTATACGTCAAGGTATATCAAGATGTAATGTTTCAGGTGAGGTGAGGTGAAATTGGGTTTAACGTCGCGTCCAAGATTATTGCACTTATATAGCGACGTGCATGTACGTGTGTGTGTTTGTGTGGCTGCTTGTACTAGTCCGAACTGATGCTGATTTATTGTGCTAGCTCACTGAGATACCATGCCGCAGTTTAAC